GTTTATAAATACCTGCACCATTTTGATTATGGTTGTAGTAGTTCTGGAAGATTCAGCAGCGTACAGTAGAACTGTCTTGACGTTCATATTGAAGATTGTGACTTTGATATTGGTTGAGAGGAAGTTGTTTTGAGTTGCATATGTTGTTCAACTGTAGGGATGCTGTGCTTACTTTGTCAATCTTTGTCTCTACGTGTGCATCAGATCCTCCACGTTCATCGATGATACTGTCCAGATAGGCACATGAATGTTTACAACTATTGTAGAGCTTCTCCATCAAGTGTGATTGTATTGTTGTTCTCCATGTTGTGTTTGAGTATGTTTCTTCCGCCCTTGTTGCAGAGGTTGCTGCTGCTGCTACACTACTTGCTTTGACCTGCATTCGTTTGTGTGTATGGGATGGAAAGTGCTAGGTGATCTGTGAAGTTCAAATTGTCTAGTTGCATGCCAGTTGTCCATTGTATTACGTGCTTCCCACCAGATGTGGAGGTCTTCCTAAGTCAATCGACCACCAGAAGCAATAGAAAGACGAGAGAGAAAGAGTAAGTAGCATTGTCTGATGCCTATCTTCACTTGGAATGTATTTGTCAGCTTCCCTCTATACACAACTTTGCTGTATAGTCAGTTGTAATAATTCCGTATGATTGTAACAGTCTTATCATGTACATCGCACTGTCGACGAAGATGCTAAATTAATTAATATCAGAGGGTGTTTGTAAATATTATAGTAATTTTAATAGTGAGTTACAGTGAGTAACTATCTCACAACAGACCCAGTTGAACTCCATTGGTCACTGCTTCTCACTAAAACTCCGGGAAATACCTTTTGAAGCCAGTCACTTGTGAGCGTATGTTGATTAACATCAGGTGTTTTTGTGGATATTATAGTAATTTTAACAGTTGAATTCATCAGCCATTTGAAGCTAGACCACCATGGAAAACCTGGAAGTACTGGACAGCCGTTTCACCCTATTATGGGACACCTCAGCAATGCGCATCCACGATCCCTCGCTTTAGTTGACTCGTGATCTCAACTATTAAAATTACTTCATTAATTATTCTTCAACGTTGACATAATTGATAAATTTCCTAGAGGTTTGAAAGAACTGGTAAATTCCATTGATTAACTTAACAAACAACCACTTGATATTTAAGAATAACATAGTTATCTATATAGCTTGTAGATAAATCAGTATTTTTAGATTGGGCTATTAGCTTTAAATGAATGAAATTCGGCGCTTTTCATGTATCCATTCGATAATTAATGTCGCATAAATTTTTAAATACAATGTTTAAGAAATTATAATTAAGTCCTTTTTAAGTACTTGTTAAGAGTATAAACAATAGCCAATAATAATAATAATAATAATAATAATAATAATAATAGTAATAATAAAAGTAATAGTAGTAATAATAATAACTTCAAGCCTGCTCATATGACCGTTTATTCTTATAAACAATCACTCAATAATTTGCAAGAGAATAATCTCACAAATATTGATTTAATTGATTAGTTTAAACATGAGAAAAAGAAGTTATACATATATAAACGTGAAAACTTATAGATACTACTAACCACCATTCATGTTTTATTTTATTAGTTTTCATATTCATGTGATAAACTGCTGAAACAAAAGGACCCACTCTCTCTCCCTCTCTATAGTATATACTATATATATAATAGTGAGATTTGCCTACCACATTTTAACTATTCTAAATCTACTGTAAATTGGACAATAAAGGTCTATGAATAGCAGTTATTTACGCATTGTATCTGGTTAATTTTACTGGTTTAGAAAGCTAACTCAAATTAGGTCAGAACTAAGTGACATGACAAATCAAGTTATTTGATGAACTTGCATACATAAAAAAGAAAATTTACGATAAAGAAGAGTATTAAAAGTAAACTGGTTTTTTTGGTTCAGAAACTGAAACCTAGGCTTAACTTCTATTTCTGATTATTTGTACACTAGCAATCTATAAGAATTGTATTATTAATTGGGTTTTCTAAGTTCAGTAATTTAAAATAAATTGGTCGTTTAATTAATATAATTATAGTAAAAACTGAAGTAAACGAGTTGAGGAATAAGAATTTTAAAACATCTATTTACTGAAAATGAAAAATAAACTGGAGTTATTTGCTTATCCCGCAAAAATTTTCAGCCATATGCTCTAATAATGAGCTTCGCCTGTAGCTCTCCTACGGTAACTGCCGGTCCCTAGCCCACGCGAAGAAGAAGGGTTGGGCGAAAGATAAGCATCCCCAGTCCGTGTAAAAAAACAATGCCAAAAAATTCACCAGAAAAAAACAATTAAAAACATTTAAACTATGTCTTCCGAGTTCAAGCATCTTCATCCAGAAGAATTATGACACCTCATGGTGAAACCCGAGATTCTTCGTAAATCATCAGAACGATGCTCCTTATAACAACCACAGCTGCAACTACTATGCGTACATGGAATGCTTGGACAATGTGTGAGTCCGGAAGGACCAGTCGAAAAGCTACGGAAATGAGAAGATACAACTTCATCGTGCTCCGAAACAGTACAATCCTGTTATGGATGCAGAATAATGTGCCAATCATTATCATGTTAAGCCTAGTGATGTCCTTGGACGTTAAATGGACATTTCCTACTGGCCATTATTTACAATCCATTGAAGCCAAACTGGACAGAATAGTTTAGATTCGATTCGATAGAGATGCTGCAGTGCTCTGATCGCGAAGATGCGAATGCTCCAAGCACTCACAGAGTTGCTCTGATGCTATCCAAACAAACACGTGAAGCAATTACAAGGTAGCAATCTCATGGATCCACAATCATCAAAGCGTCATTGAAAAGAGAGAAGGAGGATATTACAATGAATACTATTCAATGTTGTGCACCCATCAGTGGTAGAAATGATAACGATAATGATCAGTTTTACGAGAGACTGCAGTCAATCATGCTGAAGTGCTCAGGAAACGACTAACCATACTCACGGTAGACTTAAACACCAATGTCAGAATGGATAACACTGGATATGAAAATATTACATAGAAATGACAGTGAAAACAGCCGCATGTGAAGGAAATATGAAACAACTATATGACACGATGAAGAAACTGTTAGGGAAATATAGTAAACCGGAGGAATCGTTCAAGCACAAAGAAGGTGAGACAATCACTGAGATTTAAGTACAGAAGAAACGTATTTAACAGAGTGTTGCTGAATCGGATGAAAGACTGAACAAACTCTCAACGTCGAGATAAACAGATCGGATTCCGTAAGGATGGGTCGTGCACAGACCAAATCGTGACACCACGGATCATCGTTGAACAATCAATTGAATGGAACTCGTCACTATTCACCAGTTCCCTTGACTACAAGAAAGTGTTTGACAGTGTGAACAAAATAACCGCATGGAAACTTCTTCGAGACTATGGAGTGAGTACTTGGAAAGATCATCAACATCATCTGGAATTCATAAGACGAACTACACTGCAAAGTGGTGCATGGAGGACAGCTGACATGCATATTCCAAGTAAAGACCGGAGTCAGACAACGCTGCTTACTCTTTCTCTCTCGTCTTTCTATTACTTCTGGTGGTCGATTGACTTAGGAAGACCTCCACATCTGGTGGGAAGCACGTAATACAATGGACAACTGGCATGCAACTAGACAATTTGAACTTCACAGATCACCTAGCACTTTCCATCCCATACACACAAACGAATGCAGGTCAAAGCAAGTAGTGTAGCAGCAGCAGCAACCTCTGCAACAAGGGCGGAAGAAACATACTCAAACACAACATGGAGAACAACAATACAATCACACTTGATGGAGAAGCTCTACAATAGTTGTAAACATTCATGTGCCTGTCTGGACAGTATCATCGATGAACGTGGAGGATCTGATGCACACGTAGAGACAAGGATTGACAAAGTAAGCACAGCATCCCTACAGTTGAACAACATATGCAACTCAAAACAACTTTCTCTCAACCAATATCAAAGTCACAATCTTCAATATGAACGTCAAGACAGTTCTACTGTACGCTGCTGAATCTTCCAGAACTACTACAACCATAATCAAAATGGTGCGGGTATTTATAAACAATTGTCTACGTAAGATACTCAATGTCCGTTGACTGACTATCACCAGCGACAGTCTACTGTGGCAGAGAACAAACCAGGTTTGAGCTGAGGAGGAAATTGGGAAAGATGTTGGAGGTGGATAGGACACAAATTGAGGAAATAATCAACCTGCATCACTAGGCAAGTGCTAACTTCGAGTCGTGAAATGTAACGGAAACGAATAAGACGAAGTGACAGACTGCGTGGGTAATTGGAAGGAGATATGAGGAGGATGAATAGCACTTGGAAACAACTTGAAAGCATTGTTCAGGACAGAGTTGGATGGAGAATGCTGGTTATTGTCCTATGATCCTCCTCAAGAATTAACGGGCGTATATAGGGAAGTAAGTAAGTGAATAAATGATTCGGGAAGCAGAGGATCTGTTTACGTTATTTTTGTTGGACTAAGAAATAATCATCGTTCACGGTATAGGGTTATGGACATTGTTGCGTTTTAACTGAGTTCATAAACTGATCAATTTCAGACTGCCAATGAAAACCTGGTCGCACTTCCTGACCTCCGTGTCATATTGTGATACTCTTCTGTAGTGTGTATTCACGACGTCGCATGCAGGGTATGGACGTTTTGTCATAGTTTCCCTCGCAACAGCAGTCAAATGAAGAGATTGCAAAGAACTAAGTGTCGATTGTTCTGGAATTATACATGCATATATATATTTATTCCAGCATAAATAAAATTTATAACATACTAGAAGCTGATTATAGTTTTTTGTTACTTATTTATAGATTATATAAATAATATAGTTCATAATCTCAGATAATTTTGGTTTATCTATCCCTCTTCATTAATTATAATTTGTTCACAAAAATAAGCAGCAAGAAATTTTTTACAATCCATCATAGTTCTATGAAATTTAGTAGTATGTGTAAAATAAAATGTAGAGATTGTGGTTTTTGATAAGTCAAAACTTCAAAGTATCATTCACTGCCTTGCTATAAGTATTATTTATCATCATTGAGTACTGAGGATGACAATCTCTTGGTTTCTACAAATGAGATGATAGGAGTAATTTCAGTTGAAGTCATAATATTTGTGGTAAAATATAAACGAATTAAGAAGATAAACAAGTTTGAAAAGAAAAATACAAGAAATTTGGATCCAACTGTTTTGTGATCACCATCTATTCATAAAGGACTTCTTATGTGGCATTATTTGTAGATATGTAAGTTTTATCGAATTCTTTCTCATCTTCTGGATCATGTAGATAAGTTTGTGAATTGTTACTTTCATTATCTTTAGATAGTCGATATGTGTTCATTACTCCAAATCCAAAATAAAGTATCAGACCTTGTATAAATATGAAACAATAAAGAAATTCAGTATAACTTCAGGATACATTATTTAAAATTATGCAATCTAAATTATGTATAAGAATGATCGTCGATAATTGACTTCTGTTTACTGAAAATGGCTCATTATTTCACTGAAGAACTTTGAAAATTTAAGGCCTATAAAATTCAAACCAAACTTAAGAAGAAAAATGTGTCAGTTACGTTCTTAATTTAGATTTTCTATTTTTAACCAGTTTGTTAACCTGCATTATACAAAAGTTTAATTACACTAATAAATGTTAATTATCAGATGAGTTTTGTGGATATCATAGTCACTCAATTTCGTGGATTAGTTGAAGTTAGACATTAACACCGTTGGATGCTGACCGGCTCAGTGTTCTAGTGGTTAAGTGCTCGCGCGCAAAACCAGCAGGTCATGGGTTCGAATCTCGCAGGGGGCGAGGTCGTGGATGCGCACTGCCGAGGAGTCCCACAATAGTACGAAACGGCCGTCCAGTGCTCTCAGGTTTTCCATGGTGGTCTAGCTTCAACTGACTCATGATCTTAACCATTGAAATGTTAATTATTATTTTGTGAGTCGACTGATAGAAATTCAGAATATGCTGACAGAAGGGATGATCTGTAAAAAAATTTAACTGGGAAAAATATTCGTTAGTTAGGTTAAGTGAAGATTTCAACATGAATAAAATAAATTGGAAACAATTCTCATCATTAGCAACTCGAAATTTAATATACTGATTTTATCGTCGGGATTTCATTTAAATCACAACTCATTTACATAATGTTTTAGAGTCAATTTTGAAAAAAAATGTATTAATTATTTAATTAGCCTCAATGTACTAATCGTATTGAAAATCACTTTCTCGATGAGCTTTAAATAGGTATTTTACAGTGAACTCATATCAAAGATTAGTTTGTTTTTAACATAATAAAAATAATCTTTTGAAATGAAGCTCAGATAATACTAGTTGGTTACGTATGGGATATCTTTACAATGATGGTCAAATTTTAGTGTTATATTAAAGTAATATTGATTAGCACCTAATGACTTGTCGTTATCTACAGTAGGTAGCTATATTCGCTTGGCATTTTTAAGAAATACTAGGTAATTTTGTTCGTTATTAGAGTGAATTTTCTAAGAATGAAGAATTCTATGACTGAGTTTTAACCACATTCTAAGAGTTTACGGGTTTTCAAACTCACACTTGTATTTATAAAACAACACACAAAGTACTTACCGATTACTATCCAAATAGTAAATCTTATCCAAGTAACCCATGAAAGCTCACTGATCAAAAATACGTTTATAGTTAACGTTGCACATGGGATGAACGGAACATAGGGAAGCTGTAAATAAAATATTAACTCTGATATAACAGATGGTTTAAAAACTTTTTCTCGGGTATACTACGATAATACGTTATACGATAACGAGACTAGTCATGTTATATCAGATCCAAGATTCACGACCCAGAATAGAGAACCAGATTAACACCAGGTAATCCTTTATTCAACACAGTTACAAGCAGTCACACTCAGTGAGTCCGGAGTGAAAATTAATGAGAGGATAGGAAATCACATATTTAATAGTCAGTAGGTTAAGTGCCTGTTCGTCCACGCTCACCGACTAGTTATGTTTTACTTTCACTACCACACTATTGGATGCCATCATAGTGATTTACTGGTTAAGTCATCGCCCCGGGATTTGTATTTGATCCCCTGTAGTGGGGTTCAGGATGCTCACTGCTGAGTAGTCCCATACCACGATGAAACAGATGTCTAGTTCTCCTTAGTTTTAAATGGTGAGGTCAGTTCGTGACGTAAACTATAGAAATAATCGAAGCATTCAATAAAATATCTTCGATAATTTTGATTTTGATTATTTCTTTGTAAAAGTTCGGATCAGACTAGGTAGCGAAAGGTTAGAGTTATTAAATTTCAGCTGGTAAGATCGTTAATGATATAGTTTTATTTCAAATAATTCCGCCTGTTAAATAATTCTTTATCAACATATAATCTATGAATAAAATTGCCAGTTGATCTAACTTGACTACTGGTGGATTTGACGCTTATTGAACATTCGCTAATTATGAAAACGTATCGTTCAATACCAGGAGATAAGTTATTGAAACTACAAGTTTCAGTTGTCAAAAGTATCCTCATGTAATTAGGTCTACTGATCAAGGAGATAAATGGTTGAATACTCTTATAACAACCATTAAGAGTTGTCCGGAAAACATTTAATTAACTGGATACAGTTAGATAATTGTGATTAAAATCATTCTAATCTTTATAGTTTAAAGGATAATTTTTGATGCTTGATTGCGTGTTTATTCAATAAATAGATTACCATTACTAGGCTACATAAAAATGAATTTTACAGTTATCATTCAAGATATATGTTATCAAATTTCATCCAATTTTACATAGGAAGTACATAATTGCAAACATAATAAGTTATTCTATAATGAATATGTTTATAGTAATATTATATGTAACTACTGCATAAGTAAATAACTGGAATTATTAACTCCACACTGTCTGATAAACATTAGATTATCATTCAGTTCTCATTATCTTTGATAAGACCAAATGTTCAAATGTAACACAAATGAAAATTATGTGAAAAATTGAAACTCTTATTTCCGCTACATATTAGAAATTGAATATATACATTTTAATTACTAATGGAAATAGACTAATTATCTTTACATAACTTAACGTCATAAATCTGATAAGTATGTATAAAATTTAAGTCCATCAACATCTACTAACCATATCTTTTGAATGTATATTACTGAACATAACAATTTATGAAATCAGGCTCTTTATATGATTGACAAAGTTCTTTAATTTGAACTACATATTTTACTCAAAGTGGAAATGATGACTAATGTTTTCATTTCTTATTTGGTTTAAACAATTCAGCTTCGATGCCTTTATAAGATCACCTTGGATGATTAACGTAAATATCTCAATAAGGTGTAAATATTCCCAACAGTTTTCAAATAGAAAATAATGATTAAGGTTTACAAGGGTACAAACTAAATTTGGCATTTTGTTGGCAGTTTTCTTCAGTCCTCTAAAATAAAACTTTTTCCACTTTTGTTAAGATCAGTTGATCAAAGATTTGAGTTGACTCATTCTAGAATTTGACACAAGATGTTATCAGTATGGAGTTGCGTATATTGTTGGGTTATTGATTGAGATAATGAGTTGATCAATGTTATTCTGCAATAAAGTGTTACCCACGCAAGTGATCAAACTGAGTTTCTTGTTTTGTGGACTTTGATCAAAGCTTTAAAGACAACATCACTTACTAAGTATACAACCTGTAAATACTTTTAAATTTGTATGAAATCAAGTGATAAAACAAACTAAGTTATCATCCTTGTATAGTGAGTGTCCTTTTCATCTTAGGAATTTACAATAATGTGCTGACGATATTATTCATTAAGATAAGGGGTTGAACGGTGATGTTTTGATAACTACTGAGCTAAAAGATCTATCAACCTAAATTGTCTACATCGAAGTTTAGGTCTCTTCTCTGTTACACTGAAGTTATACCAATATCATATTTTAAAACGTGAAAAAACTTACTTGAAACAAACCTTTGTAAGGTGGTCCAAATTGTTTAAAAATGCTCATCAATACTATACAGGATATCAGTAATGCTAAAATGAACACTACACAAACAATTCTCCATATTGGCCACAATTCATGTTTCGCTCCTATTGTCAAACACATAATTAAAACACCATTTAATACAATATAAGTAGCCATGATCATAACAACTGTATCACCAGGTGAACCGGAATTGAAAATCTTCAATATACAATTAGGTATACAACGAGCATAAGGATATTTTACAAATCCTGGTTTATCAATACGTTTTTTGAAATGTTCCACTTGTTTAACAGTCTTTTAAAAAGTAATAATTCAACAAAAATCTGATGTTATCAAAACGAAATACTCTTTTAAGATGAATAAATTAATTCATTTGAAAAGGTCATTTATAATAAAAATACTTGTATTATAGCATGTTAGATTTCATGAGAAAAGCAAATGATTACTAGTAGTTGTTCATTTGGAATTAATAATACTATGATGCATGCTACTTATGTTGACATCAGAAGTGGAAGGTCTGGCAGCAGGTCGGGAAGATTGAGTTGAAGAGAACGGGAACAGAGAGTAATTGTTACGTAATGAAGGAACGATATAGTTTGATACAATTGATGGAGGATTTATAAATGAAGTATTGAACGTATGGTTTTCATATTTGACCAAAGAACATTGCTTGTCCTTACATGTGTTCTCGTTCATTACAATAAGATTCAGGGTATATATTTAATTCAGTAGGCACTGGTTAGTGAGATTAGTAAGTATTTTACAAGAAAATCAACAAGGACAATTCACAGCAATTACTGTTAGCCACAAGTAAAATAATATGATTGTAAATTATTCTACAGTATTAAGTCATTTGCATAGTCAGTTCATATATATTAATATAGACAGATCTATTTGTTTGGGTGATTCGACAGCAACAAGTACTAATGTGTACTAATGTTGACCATACAATATTTTCGGATGATCTACAAAATCCAAATATATTTGAAATTTTTAGATAAATACAGCCAGTATTCTACTGGCAGGAAATTACTAACAGATATAGTGATGCATGAATCTCTGCCTGTACCTGGTTAATATGAGGATACAACTTATGATGTTGTTCTTTTTTCCTTGGAATAAACTGTCTGAATAAACGATTCCGAGGAAAGTTGATCTTTAATTCCACCATTTATCAATCAAAAATAGGCAAATCAACTTAGAAAGCAGAATTCACATTTGTATCCTATACAACATGTTTATAACTTGTTTGTACACTAGTAAGACATCAATTTCAATAGATTATTAACAGACAAACAAAATTAATTACCTTATCCTTTTCAATTCTGTCTGTTTCTATTTGATCAGTTTCAGTCAATATTTGTGGACTATCAGTTTGTTTTCTGTAACGTATACATATAATAGCTATTGCAGTAATGGAATAAGCGATTAACGTCCCTAAGCTCATAAAATCGGCTAAACTATCCACACTGAAAATCAATGTTAGTAAGGCTGTTATAATTGTGACGAATGTTGTTGAAATGGCAGGTGTCTAAAATAAAAATATAAGACGAAAAGTTTAGTACTATAATAGTATTTTGTCAATATATTTTTGAGTAAGTTAACCTTCACAGTCAGTCATATTTCTATTTAGCATTTTCAAAAAATGAGATTAACTTGTCAGTTAGGTGCATTCTTTTTAATTTGAGCAAGTATTCCTGAAATTAGATCAAAAGTTTTGGTTTTACGGAATGTACAATAACCCAAAATGGTTACTTAAACATCATGATGAATACAATTTCAGATATTGACTTATTCGATTCTGATTCTTATTTACGGTAAGCTATAGTTCATCGGAAATATCAGGAATCAGATAACTGAAAAAAAGCCGAAATATAGACATTATAATAAGGTTAGAAATTATATTTAAAACGCTATACTCACTTTCTACCTATCAAATGTGATTTCAATCAATTAGTATTAATATTTCTTTTGCTTTTTGCAGAGGCTCTAAAATAATGCTTAAACATCAAAATTAAGTGTTCACTAGTCGTAAATTTGCGTTTTCAACGCACAATTCCATAGTGACGAAGAAGCTTCCATAGTGTTCTCTTATTCACACTGTCAAACACTTTAATATAGTCAAGGGAATTGGTGTATAGGGATGAGTTCCATTCAATTGATTGTTCAACGATGATTCGTTGTGTAACGATTCGGTCTGTGCACGACCGATCCTTACGGAACCCGGTCTGTTGATCTTAGAGATGGATGTCTATTCAATCCTTCATCCGATTCAGCAACACTCTGTTGAAAACGTTTCCTCTGTCGTTGAATCTTGGTGATTGACCTGCCTTCTTAGTCTTTGACCAGTATTTCTGGTTTACCAAAATATCCCGGCCAGTTTCTTCATTGAATCATATGGTTGTGACTTGAATTTCTCTGTTGTTGCTGTTGTTCGGCTGTTGTTATTTACTATATTCATTTTCTTCCTTTCTTGACACAAAACACGGTTTCCATAGAGATCCATTCCTTACCATGATGCTCCTTACTGCACAGCGATTCCCTACACATAAGAGTTAGTGTTTGCTTGATACATTTCCACCTGTTCTCCATTGTAGTTTCCTCTTCTTCCAATAGATCCTGTAATTCATGGAACCAGTTGTTGAGATCTATCATGAATTGGTTGAGTTTGTCAGTATGTCGAATGTAAGGCTGTATTGAACATTCGTAATGCTATTCCCCTAGTTGTCCATTGCTTATTCAGTTTCAGTTGCATTCTGGCAGTCACCGGGTCATTGGTGATGTGAAGCTATATCATCTCCTCTCCTGGTTCTCACGTCTTCCATTGACCTATTGAAATTTCAAGAGATGCAAATATGATCGATCTGATTGTGTGTAGTGTGGTGCGGTGAGATCTATGTAACATTGTGTATGCGTTTGTGTGAGAATATTTTGCCACCGGTAACTATTTTGTTGAATGCACATAAATGTACAGATATCTCACCATTCTCGTTCATTCCTCCCAATCAGTCCATGTCGTCCCATGATATTTTCATATCCGGTGTTATCCATTCTGACGTTGGTGTTTAAATCTACCGTGAGTATTGTTAGTCGTTTCCTGAGCACTTCACCATGATCGACTGCAGTCTCTCGTAAAACTGATCACTATAGTTATCATTTCTACCACTGATGGGTGCACAACATGGGATAGTATTCATTGTAATATCCTCCTTCTCTCTTTTCAATGACGCTTTGATGATTGTGGATCTATGAGATTGCTATCTTGTAAATGCTTCACGTGTTTGTTTGGATAGCATCAGAGCAACTCTGTGCGTGTTTGGAGCATTTGTATCTTCGCGATCAGAGCACTGTAGCATCTCTCTCGAATCGAATCGAATCTATTCTGTTCAGTTTGGCTTCAATGGATTTGTTATGACTTTAAGTTGGGTCGATTTTTACCCTGTGCTAATTGCTGTGTCCTTGACTGGAAAAATTAGAGAGCAGAGTATTTATCGATCGATCCAATGACACGTAAACACGTACGGACGGCCTAGAGTCTCGATTGGTCCCGCTTCCCTGTCTAGCCCAGTCAGTTGAGTCCAGAACACAAGTCACAACCTCTGAGATATGAATCACTGTATTTCAGACATACTCTATTTATATACTAACCAAACATACCACATCGTACCATAAAAATAGAAAGCAACATTTGTACAATATTTTACGAATGAAATAAATAATGGTTAATAGGAAATGTCCATTTAACGTCCAAGGACATCACTAGGCTTAGCATGATAATGATTGGCACATTATTCTGCATCCATAACAGGATTGTACTGATTCCGAACACGATGAAGTTGTATCTTCTCATTTCTGTAGCTTTTCGACTAGTCCTTCCGGACTCACACATTGTCCGAGCATTCCATGTACGCATAGTAGTTGCAGCTGTGGTTGTTATAAGGAGCATCGTTCTGATGATTTGCGAAAAATCTTGATTTTCACCATGAGGTGTCATAATTCTTCTGTATGATGATGTTTCAACTGGGAAGACATAGTTTAAATGTTTTTAATTGTTTTTTTTCTGATTAACGTTTTTTAGTAATGTTGTTTTCTACGGAAGTGGGATGCTAACCTCTTGCCCGACTCTTTCTGTATATCGGATTTCGGACTCCTAATTTCCCTAAAAGAACTATAGGTGGAGTTATTTATTTTTTACGATCCTTATATGTTCTCGATTTAAGATTTGTATTTAAAAAAGTAGGTGTTATTATACATTTCTCTGTCTCCAAATCACTATAAATTGATCGTTAACTCGTTTTATTCTCAGTTTTAGTGTAAATATTTTTGTTACTTAAATGTTGCAATTTCCAATTTATGATGCGTTTAGATCCTGTATTTCGTTCATATAATCATCTGAATTTTAGATTCAACCTTATAAGAAATATATCGGTTGTCTTTGAGGCCTGGGGACCGAATTCCTACGGTGGTCAATAAGCGTCAGCCTATCAGGTCACCGAGTCTGAGCATTTATATTATTGGTTCAAGTATGAAAGAGTAAGGTCGTATTAAGCACCACTAAAAACTGATAAAAATCAAACTGCTCGTCCACCCTAGTTTTGAACACGTAGAGAGAAAGTACTATCTTGTGTTCTACTGGTTTTCTATGGTTTGCCGGCTTGTGAATTTCAATGAAACAAATTATCGTCAAATGTATATATATGTATATATATATATATATATATATATATAGTATAAATAATAAACTTACTTTGAAAGGTTGACAAAGATGAGAACAGATAGTCGGAATAAGACCATCTTGAGCCATAGCATAACTAATTCTTGGTGCAGCAACTAATGAAGTAATTAAACAGGCAATTAACCCAATTAATGATCCAACACCAACAAAGTAAAACATTCCAGTTCGTACATTTTCTGGTCCACCATTTAGTGTATTACCTTTTAATGCACTTAAAAATGAACTCTCGGTACTAATAAGAAACCAAGGGTAATACAAAGTTAGTGCTAGTGAAGATACTGTGGTCAAAATTGCTACAGTTATAACGGCTACAACATTCGCTCTAGGTAGACTGTAACTAGGATTTTTAGCTTCTTCTGCACACGTTGATATTGCATCAAAACCAATGAATACATTAAAACAAATTGCTGTACCACCTATTAAACCTGGTATTCCAAATGGTAAAAAGTTTGGATTTGGCGATAATTTATCTACTGTAATATTAGGTGAGGTGATATATAAATATTCTGGTTTGCTGTATACAAACATATAGATTGATGTTACTGTTAGTACACCAACATTTACAAAAATTGAAACTGCTGTCACTTTTGCACTGCCACGAACTCCACAACAAGATATAGCTGACAATATAATAATCAGCAATACACCGACAAAGTCATAATGTTCAGCTAATACACCACCTGGATGAGATAATCTGTAAAACAAAGTAAATAACCAAATAGCATTAGAGATAAGTTACCTTAATAAATAAATTCGAAGGTACTTATAGCTCTAGGTTCAGATATAAGTGCCGATTGATAGTCTCCGCATTTGTTTGAATCGAGAAATTGTTTAACGGTTAAAACACTTGAATTTTAATTCATTAGTTGTAGGCTTAAATTTTTTCTGGGCTAGGAAGGAATGACATTTGCTCTGTGGAGAAATGTAATATGCTACACAGAATGTTTGAATGCCCTCTGAGGTCATTGTTTCTATGTAAACTCTAAAGTTCATGTACGTCATACTCGCAGTAGCTCAGACGTTATTTAATCTCGTATAGAAATAGAAAGTATATTGCATGCACATCACACCTATTACATGAATCACCTTCTGATTTACATGTTTGATTTGAGGATTGTATCTGCTACAGTTGATTGAAGCAGATTTAAAAGTACAAACATGCAACTGTTAAAACGACCTTCACTTATGTAAGTTTAGGAAATACTCCCTGTAGATAAAAAAACATGGACACAGTTTTTCACCAGTAAACTTTACATATATTTAAATAAATATATTATCTTTTGTTTCTAAAGTTACAACACACAAATACGAAAACGCTCCATATAAAATTGCTTCATTTTTACAGTTTATTTAACTAGATAACAATATTGTACTGAAACAGTTACCGAATTTAAGTAAGAACCATGATAAACTATCTAATGAAATAAACAGAAAAGAAGATATTTTACTACGGCGATGAGACAAGGAAATAACCTTAGTCCCAAGAAAATAGTAAGATTATTTTAACAGGGTGTTGGAACTTCTATCAAAGGACATAACAGTTTAGAAACCACAAGGTAAAGGTAATAGAACCAAGCATAATCGAAGGACAACCCACATATGTTTAGACTCGAGTGAACTCGAAGTCGATAATCACGCTAGAATTACATAGCAAAGTTTCATACTAGGACGAAACGGATATCCAGTGCTTCCAGATTTTCAATGGTGGTCTAAAATTGATTGATTCACATTCTCAATTATTCCACTTACTGAAAAGGTATTTTTTATGAGATTACTTTAAAAGATGTGCAGTGAAAGTAGGTGTACTTACATCTTACCCAAGGAAGCTATTTGTTAGATGTACATTATATGTTCAGTAAAGTTTCAGCAGTAAAATCTACCAAAAGATATATACAGTGTAGTTTTTTTATTCCTGATAATCCTATTGTGATGAGCAGTAATGTGAGACAACTGTTTAGTGCTCCATGATTTTTTTAAAAATAACTGTCTTATTAGAATTAGTCTGAGATGTATATTTTATAATTATAATTAAAAATTTAGGGAAATTTTCAAATAAATTAGATAAAGAGTATACCTACCTACCAACACTGTGTATTGTCCATTTACTTATATGATTGTCTGCAAGACTGTCAAGCATACTACTCCAACATCTTGCAACAAGTGATATACCTAGTATATACTCAAGTAGTATTGCCCACCCAGTTATAAAAGCAGGAAATTCACCCATGATAAAATATATGTATGTATATGAAGAACCAGCCTAAATAAGATGAACAAAGTAAAAAGTAACAAAACGTTAATTAAAAAAGAATCAATCAAAAATCATATTCATGAACTCCATTATTATATAAAGAGAAACAAACTATAGTAATATTAGTTACTAAATAACCTGCCATATACTATACAATTATATAATAATGTACAGCTTACCTATTATTATGAAAATAATGATAATTCATGTAGAAACTCATATCAATGCTAAAGATTAGCTAACAACCTAAAATGTTTGCAGTATATAATATATATAAATATTGTATATATGATTTAAGTCATTAAGATTTCGTTGTAAAGACTAGAGTATAATAATGGGAGGGAAAATTTCATATACATTTTCATAATGCAGTATTGTTCTTAGTTCGTTTCAACTCTCAACTAATTGAGAATTGATCTTCCAATATTTAAAATAAATTCAATAATAATCAATTCGGGAAAAAAAGTGTTAACACTCAATAATATTGAATTTCGATTCAACCTTTCCTATCACTTTTCGTATCACATTTTATGAACGTTTTCGATTTATTCTAATTGCTAGGTCACTATTTCTGATTTCATACAATGTTATTTCGAGTATAGTTTTTGACAAAGGCAATAATTCATTAAAATAGGAGTTTAAAGTTTGTGGTATTGGACAGATATTTGTTCTTCAGATGTATACATCCTGAAACTCCCATGTAATTTAACACACAAAACTCATATCTCATAGTGGGTGAACTATCATTCTTCTGTTCAGTAAAAATCTATTGGTTCATTTTCAAATGGATTGTAGTGACTGCACTAAACTTGGAGTTGTAACAGATAGAAAAGATACACTACTATTTTGAAACACAATGATTATTTTGAGACCAAATTATCGTAGTTTTGATCATAGTCTACTTAAGGACAATTTTTCATTAGAGATTAATTCACTGACAGAAATGTCTCAGTTACTTAACTGTTTAAAAACTGACTAACTCAGTTGGGTTTACAGTTTTATAAATATAGCCTATGGAAGTATATTATAATATTTTTTTAGTAATTGTACTTTTAATAAATTACTCAATTTTCTTCAGGTGTATGAAATCGATATAAGGAGTATTGATGGTTCATTGTATATTAGTTTCCTATGATTTGTTTACAACGATAATTATTCATCACAATACATACCACTTTAATGACTATAGGTTCAACTGTCTATCGTTAAGAAAGTTGTGTAACTACATATAAGTAGTGATCGACTGAATTTATCATGTTCATTAGATTTCAATTGATAAATCATCACTAAAATTCCCAGTGATAAAAGAACTGATGTATTGTAAACGATGTTATATGGACTAGCCAATGTAATGCTTGTTATAATACTTTATTTATATTTTGACCAGAAAAGCAGCCTCTAATTTAAATGCAAATGTGAATTATGAAACTAATCATTAATTCATTATGGTCAGCTATGATATCTGTTTAATTGTAAAATATAGCAGTCAGAGATAAATTAGTACATTTACAAAGTAAGTTTCGGCCAGCGAATTTCAGTAAAGTTAGAAGTGATAATCTTCTTACCTTTGGTATACGACATGCTAATTCAGAATAGTTCAGAGAATTAAGTAACGCCACGCATCCAGCCAGTATATATGCCAAAAATACTGCAGGCCCAGTTCTTCTGTTCATTACAGCACCTGTAAGTACGTATATACTCCCACCAAGCATGGATCCTGGAAAAAAACAAGTAATAGTTTCTGCTGTAGGTGTGTAAAACTTATAAATTTGGTCAAATCAGAATTTGTCATAAGTCTCCCAAGTAAAATATGTAGCTTGGATCATGACAAAACTTAGTATTCGACTATATAAGTTGATATAGACCTCTAATTCCTTAAGCAACAGTTATTGTGGTGAAAACGTATGTTTCAAAAATACAAGTGTACAAATTTGAAGCATGTAACCTTTGATAACGTAACTATGAAGACATAGATTGATGATTTAGACACTTGACTTACAATCAACAGGTCACAGGCTTGAATACTATTCTATCTATTTTGATTTAGGCAGCTGGATAATATTACTAGCTCTAACACAGAAACTTGTGCTTAGTAAACGATTTATCCTAAACAAATAACATCAAATTAGCATGCTAACTCGTGCAATTGTACAAGTTTTGATATATAACATCAGATAAACTTTCACGAAGCAAATTTAATTAGATCGCATTTTAGTTTGTGTACCTCAAGGAGACTGTTAGTGGATAAATTTGATTTTTTTGGGATAAATTTATGTATTTAATACTTGCTGACGTTAAATTTGGTGCTAATTTAATTGGAATACACGATCTACCAGTTCTACATTTCATGCCATCTTATGATGAAAGATTTCTTTCAATGAAAACACCTCTAGATTTAGATAAAATATTTACGGATTAAAGTTGTCGAGGAAATATTAAAGATTAAAGGAGGTGAAGAAGCAGTTATTGTTACGGATCTATGTACACAATCTTTGTGATTTAAATAGAAACAGAAAGATTTTGCATTATGAATTACTGTTATATGGCAGATACTTCCAAAATTAAAACTGACAGATTACTGTCAACCTCTAGTCTCGAAATTAATAATGTTAAATACTATTAACGTTGTTCTTAATCGAACATAATGTTTCGGCATAAAGAATTGGATGTCAAGAAACTAGACTGAAACTAAATAAACAACATTATTTAAACTCATTGACTTTAGTGTCCGATTGCCGTCAGTTTCATTTGATGAGAATCATTTTCATTAAAAGTAAGTGTATTTTGTCACTATCTATGAAAGCTAGCCTATGATAAGATTTGAAAGCATTTTACTAATTAGTATATCGTGATTACTACCCGTTATGTGAAGATAATTAGCTTTTGTTGAGGATTTTGTAAGTAATATTTTTGAGTCAGCATACTGAATACTTGTCAATCAGTTATTCATAGTTAGTTAATTACTACAAGATAGAAACAAAGCTATACTGATATTTTATTAGAAATTTCTACTGTGCAATTTCAAATATCTCATGCCGAACTCAATGTTCTATAGTGTTATGTAATCTAGTTTAAGATGGTGGAGAAAATTTATAGCTCAGGTGGATGATTTTGCTGGAGTTTTGTTCTCTGAGCTCAGAGAACAAATCTTCATCGTAATCTAGCCTAGTGGCTACAATGAATAATTAATTGTGTAGGTCTCAGCCACCATTGAAAGCTAAACAGTATAATCAAACACATTTCTGCTCACTGATATTCTACCGGTAAGCTTAATAGTGACTTCGCACTATATATATATATATATATATAGTATGCGACTCCTCAGCAGTGCTCATCCACAATCCCGCACCCCACGAGATTCATAGCATCAAACGCCTCCTCAGAATGTCGTATTTCATCTGTTATCTCAATCAGTAGTTATATAATTTTATGAAAATCACAAATCGATTCATCCAGTAAAACAAAGTAGCTTAAATAGAAGTAATTACTACTTGGAATAGAGTTAATTAAACCAAAACATACAATCAATATTACAAAAAGTTTTTTTTGTCTTACTCATTTGTGAATAATAATTTATTACATAAGGGTATACGTGATAATTAAATGTATTAATTTTTTAATTTTTTGTTGTTGATATATATTATTAAAATCAATAAGTGAATGAAGTTTATTAAACCGAATGAATATTAATCAACAACAACAACAACAACAACAAGAACTACAGCAACAACAACAATTCGATATGCGGGTTAATTGATAAATTTAAAAAAAATAATAATATGAATGAGCCTTTTTCAACAGTGACTAATTATGACAACCAAGTATATTGTACGAGCTAAACTCTATCAAGAATAAATTTTATTGTGTGAAATAAGACTGATAAAATGATTATTTGAGACAGTTTTTTAATTATGGAGACACGGAAGTTTTATTTATTTTCAGAAGGAATTTGTGGAGATTTTAGAAATTTAACAGATTGAAATCATGAGTCAATTGAAGCTAGACCACCATGGAAAACCTGGAAGCACTGAACGGCCGTTTCGTCCTAGTATGCGACTCCTCAGCAGTGAGCATACACGATCCCGCACCCCGCGAGATTAGAACCCAAGACTTATCATAGTGATCTAGCTTCAATTGACTCATGATTCCAATCTGTGAAATTTCTAAAATCTCCACAAACCCTTTCTGATAATAATCATCTACTCACTAGTGACTGACTTCAAGAGATACTCCTGGAGTTCTAGTGCGAAGCCGTTACCATTGGAGTTCAACCAGTTCTGTTGTGAGATATCAGCTCACTGAAGACAATGGTATACGGTAGCGAAACTTTGTGGATTGGTTTAAGTTGGACGTTAACACTATTGGATGCCGGCTCAGTGGTTTTATTTATTTATTTTTATCACGCATCTTTTAGGTTATATGTATATTCCAGTGATGACGTACATAAATGTTTACTTGTGAATAGTATTACACTTGAAATTTAAAAAAGACGTTACTGGAAACATTTCAGAAAGACATGAATGAGTTAATTTAAAAAAGAAAAACAAATACTAACTATTTCACGAAAATAAAGATTGTCATGTGTAAACTTGTCGACATTTATTGATTGAATTAGAAAGTTAATTTTTTTATTACTAGTTTAAATGAAATGCTTTTAAGGATATTAATGTGGGACAGTTAAGCAAAGAATATCTTCTTCTGAATGATAACATTTATCAAAACTGGTACAATCATATTTGAAGTCATTTTTTGCATTGTCTATAATAAGATAGAAAATTATCGAATCTTTAATAAATGTATTACAAGTACTTACTTACTTACTTACGCTTGTTACTTCTAATGGAGCATAGGCCGCCGCCGACCATTCTCCAACCCACTCTGTCCTGGGCCTTCTTTTCTAGTTCCATCCAATTCTTGTTCATTTTTCTCATGTCTATCTCCATTTTCCGGCGTAATGTGTTCTTTGATCTTCCTATTTTCCTTTGGCCTTGAGGATTCCACGTGAGGGCTTGTCTTGTGACGCAGTTGGGTGCTTTCCTCAATGTGTGTCCTATCCACTTACAGCGCTTCTTCCTGATTTCTTCCTCCGCTGGGATCTGGTTTGTTCTCTCCCACATTAGGTTGTTGCTAATAGTGTCCGGCCAACGGATCTGAAGTATTTTGCGTAGACAATTGTTAATAAACACCTGTATTTCCTGGATGATGGCATTCGTAGTTCGCCAGGTTTCCGCCCCATACAGTAGGACTGTCTTGACATTTGTATTGAAAATCCTGACCTTGGTGTTGGTTGACAGTTGTTTTGAGTTCCAGATGTCCTTCAGTTGTAAATATACTGCTCTTGCTTTTCCGATCCGCGCCTTCACATCTGCATCAGATCCACCATGTTCATCAATGATACTGCCCAAATATGTAAAGATTTTGACATCTTCCAAATCTTCTCCGTCAATTGTGATTGGATTGGTGCATTTTGTGTTATATCGGAGAATTTTGATTTTCCCTTTGTGTATATTGAGACCTACTGCTTCTGAGGCTGCTGCTACACTGTTCGTCTTCTCCTGCATTTGTTGTTGCGTTTGGGATAGAAGGGCCAGATCATCTGCGAAATCTAGATCGTCCAGCTGCATCCTAGATTTCCATTGTATCCCGAAAAGTATTACAAGTGGCGAGATTATAATTTATGGACGAACTAATCAGATTTAAAATAGCAGGTCTTGGGTTTTTGTGCGAAATTCATTCACTCATTTAGCTTAATACTATTTTGTCAGCTCGTGATGAAAATATTAAATCTTATTCCTAACCCCAACGTTCAACGGGTAATCCGATTCCTAAATCCTCTTACTAATCTATAACCCTTACTTAACCATAGTAAATAAGTGGATGTTTCAAGGTCCTTTTAGGGCTGTCCAAAGGTCGTCCATAAATTATAGTTTTACCGTTATAAGTTAATATAAAACGTTTTTAAGTTATCTATCAGTCAAAAGTTTAATAAGAATGAAAATAAAATATGGAGCAGAGATTGGAAAAGTTGTCATCCATTTAATGAATATGAAGAAGATAAAGATGACGAATACAAGTCAAAAGTAAGTTATGAAATACGAGGAGACATAGAAAAACCGTGGTAAGTTAACGGATTGGATAAATTGCTTCTAAATAAAAAGATCAGGCTTAAAATTATGAACTGGCAAATCCTTTGATACGCATAAGTTTCTTATCCGGCTTTCCTAAACAACTAGCTTTTATAACTTTATCAATAGTTTTAAAATAAAGATTTCTTTAGAGATAGATGATCAGAATTTACCAGATAATCAGCATTGAAACTACTGGTTGGTTCACCTTCATCTTTAGATCACCATGCTAGTTGGTGATCATATATGAATTCGGAAATAACACACTTTATTTAGTCAGTATAAAATACTTTATAAAAGCAAACAAACAGATAAAGTCACTTTTCCCACCACAGACAATAAAGATATTATATATATAACTATTTTGCCTGAATAAAATGAAATTAATCTCAATGAATTATGAACTCTATTGAGTTTATTGTAGTTATAGATATCTTATTGATTTTTTAAGGGAGATGAAAAGATCTTTAATCAAGTGACCATATATTAATCAATAAAAGTTGTCCGTTTTCTTGATTTGTCATATAATAGTGATTGTACATTTAAACAGAAATAAATTTTTGTTTCATATATAGAGTATTATTTCTATGTT